TAAGATGAGGAGGGCCAAAGTGGATGCTCGAGGAAATATACTTGCTATCTCCGAAGGGAGAAAAAAAAAAGGAAAAAGAATAGCACGGAGAAGAAAAATTCTACACGTCCGTGAGTTACACTCATTATTTCTCCGATTGTTTTTTATTTTTTAACCAACGTGAGAAAGAGTCGCGATTAAAGATCATCACGCGGATGATGTTTGCGGAGAACCGGATTTACTAGTTTATTTATAATTAAATATGTTCCGCGCGCGGTGAAAGTGTGTTTCATTCTCTGTGTATATATACACGTAATTTTTATCTGAACAGGATTCCTTTTCAATGACGACTTCGCTGTTACGTTACATCTAGATGTAACGTGTTGTATCTCATCGATATCCGTACAGAGGTGAACGAACTTTATCGCTAGAGCCAAACTTTTTCCATAACGATGCACCCTGCCACGGCAAAAGAGTAGTTTTATTCGGAGCACGTGCCTCGGTGTCAAGCCGGCTAAAATTAAGCGGGAGATTGCCCCTGTTCCCTCCGCCGTAACTCTACTTTCCGTCGCCCACTTTCCGATGAGTCCTTTCCTCTCTCCCTCCTGCTCCACAGTGCCAGCTGGCAACCGGAAGTAGGTATAAGAAGCCGGGCGAGAGGAAATAAAGGAAGCGACGACGCGAGGGTTGGTGAAAAACCGTATACGGGGCTGTGCAGCCGAGGACCGTTGCGCCCGATGCGGCCCACTTTTATTTCCGTCCGCGTCGTTATTATTCGTACACGGGGGTCCTCGTTCGATATTCGCTGCACGAAAGGAGGGAGAAAACGCATCACAATTCCGAACGAACTGAACAGCTGACGCGCAAGTTTCTTTAACCCCAAAAATGGTAATACGAAAAATTTTAACCTCATTAAAAGACGATTGTGCGATGAAAAGAACAAAAAAAAAAAGTTTTTTTTTTTGACAAACGAAATGACTTTTTGACAAGAGTAAATCACCAAGATATTAGTGTCTTACAACATGAGTATTTAATCGGTTAGGAAAGTAGGCTCGATTGCGATACGATCTCTCGTATATTTGCTTAATAAAAGGGTAACAGTAAATTTGAAACACGCAAGTGTATTTACTCAAGGGTGAACGAGCTCGTGTTTAATATCACCCGAGAAAAAAACACGGCTCTCAATACAACGTGTGAAAGTAAACCCTCTTTTCTCGGCACACAAATATTCCCCCCTCCCCATTTGTAAGAAAAACCACAACTTAATATTACAACAACAACAAAAGCAAATTTTGTTACTTAAACGAATTGTAAAACATGATCCGTATCCCTATTCAAAGGAACATGTTTGTTATTCCTTACCAACTCCCGGGAGAGAACGACAATTCGTCTTGTTGCGGAAAAGCCGAAACTTTTCGATACGTCGTGAAGGTCTTTACGGACATAAAGCAGAAAAGAAACAAGACAGTTTTTCTGTCACCGTGTAACGAACCGACAGACGAGTGCGTTTTCATAAACTCGGATGCGCAATGGGAAGCCCATCAAACTAACTGCTCGCATAAAGTTCGAAACACTGTTGAACCTGCTCGACCAGATCGGACCACATCCTGCGTGCGGTCATTTCCGCAGAAGCCGGTCGACTGCTGTCCTCCCCGACACTCGACACAATGTTGCCGAACCGCATTAGTAGATTAGATTTCAATGGATAACGTTAAGTCTGGATCTAATAAATAAATTATCGAATAATAAGCGCTTGCTTTCTCTCGCGTTATTATCGATTGCAACATAAACGCGTTCATGTGAATAATCACAGTCGCAACTCACATTGCTTATTCTCCGAAAGTCCCAACGCCTACGTTTCCGTTTCTCCTTTTCGAACAATTTTGTATATTTTACAAGTGATGCAAAATTTCTTTTTTACATAAATCGGATATTCGATATTGCGCGTATAAAACTGTCCATGTATTTTGTATAGCGCGCGCGCGCGCATGCGAATACAAGCAGAATATACACAATACATAGGTTTATACACACGTCAATATTTCGCATTTCCTCTTCGACCTCGGCGTTCGCGATCCCGGAATGTAAATTTTTATTTCAGTCAGGATTTGTGCGATATTCCCGGCGAGATACTCGAGCCTGAAGACTCAAGGCTAACCGTGTGCTGTTTTTTAACCGCCGCTCGCGGCTCTCGTGCAGCTTCAGGAGAAGAAATTACGCCGCTGGATGTCGGCGGCGAGGAAAATATCATCTAGCGGACGTAACAATTTATTAATCATCTTGCCGCAATGTCTTAATTTTCCGAAGTAAGTATGAGTATATTTATGTCTGTGTTAAGTACTTACTATTTTAGAGATACACACACATATGTTTAATGTGCAATTTTTCTAAATAACACAATCGAAATTGTATTAATTTTATATCGCGATATAAATCGTGACTTAAACAAATTTAATAAAAGAGTCATGTAAAATAAATATGTATTGATTATCCGATATGAATAGAGAGAGCCGTGCTATCGGTGAAAAAAAGAAAACGGAAGAGTCACCTTGACGACGAATGTTTGGTCGAAGATTTTGAATTAAGTTTTAAAGTGAGAATTGGAGCGCGACGGACGCGCGGCTCGAATTTCTCATGGGTGATACGGTGCTACTAATTCGAGCAAGTTGTATTTTATTGTTATCAAATAAATAACGTTCTTTCTACAATTTCCGTACTTATTATTTTGCGAGAATTATAGAGAGAATATTATTTATTTGAGAACAAAATGCAACTCGCTCGAATTAATTTATTTCAAAAGTCGCGAGTTACAGACGTAACAACATATATATACAATATATACACTCAGATATATAGATATATAATAAAGACACAATAAATTACATCCGGCAGACGTAATTTTATTTGCTTCTCTTCCCGCCCCAATGCCGAGAGCGCTTGGTATTTTTCCACCCTTGAGAATTAAAATTCCCATCACCCGGGGCAAAGACTCCGCAGTGTGATGCCGCTTGTGCCCTACCTGAGTCAGCTGTCTCAGAGAAACAGCACCTTTGCAGAACTCGTCGCTGAGGAGGAGGCTGGAAAAAAACATAGGATCAGTCCATCGAACGATCCATCCCCCCGGGGTGGAGAAATTCCCGAACGAAAAAGGGAGAAGGGAAACCTCAGCTGTTTGCCAATGGAAACCGTGGAACGAACATCCACTTTAACTGCGACGCTTCGCGACGAAGAAACACAGACGACATCGTGGCAACACTCGAGATTCCAGAGATCTTAAACAAGGAAAGTTACTAGAAGCAATTCAGACCAATTGCTCGGAATCAAAGCGTTCTATGTCCGTTACCGTGAATCAATTTGCGGCTTTAACGAGGATTAACAGTCGATTAGCATAAAGTGGTATTAATTGATCGCGCGAGCGACCTGGATCAAGTCCATCCAATTTAATAATAAGATAATGTGAAGAAATACATTTGTGAGAGTAGATGAAAGAATGTGTTTCTTTTGATGTCATATCAAAACTCAAGAATCATCTGTGTTAGATGCCTATTACGTCGAGGAATACAAAAAAAAAAAAAAAAAAAAAAGAATCAAAACATGTATCCACACGCGTTTCCGAGAAGCCAATACTTTGATCTCGCGGAGAAAGAAATGCGCGCTTGTTTTCGAACAAAGAATCGTGCCGTGATAAATCGTTTCTTTTTCTCGCTTGAATATCAGAGAACGCGAGAATCGGAAAAAGCGAGCTCCAAGTTATGTAAACGTGATGTTTTTAGACTTTCCCTCGAGTCGACGACGCCGACGATACTTGAACTGAAACAAGCGCGACTATGCGGTCGGTGAAAACTTTTTTTTCCTCCACGTCTTTTAATTACAATCTCCGATTATTATTATTGCGCTCAGGCGTGGCCGTGAAGTTCTCTGTTAACATACATTTAATCTCTTAAAATGCTCGCATTATATCTAACCCCTTCGTTACATCTTTCAAGTGGTTAGTTTTTCTTCGAACGTCTCATTAATGATCTTCTTTTTTTGCGTTTCTTAGGTAAAGAAACCTTAAAACTAGAAAGCATCCAGAATAAGAGAGGTTCTTTGTACCGGTACATCACTACCGGGAGGAGCTAATCTTCCCCGCTCAGGTGAAACACGCTTTCGGCACCTTCTCGCGATCCTTTTCCCACGGTATAGACCGGGCGACTCGGTGAATGTTTTCCCTACAAAGCCGCGCTCTTCTCTTCACCGCACATTCCTCTCGTTTTTCCTTTCCTCTGTCCTTCCCACATCTTCCCCTGTCTCGCCCCCGCGCGAAACCGAAGGGTATGCTGTTCCGTAGCATCCCTTTCGGCGGGCAGATAAAAGGATTTCCGCGAAGTTAATGGCGCTTGTAAGTGAGAGAAGAGATAATTTGCGTAACCGCTTCGCGCGAAAGGATTATTTTGTGTTAATAATTAACTAAATACAAAACAAACTTACAGACAAACATTTAGACAAGAAATTATCCGATCGTCTATCTGTATCGACGTTGGCAGTGTGAAACCAAACGTATCAGAATATAAACATTACTTACGTGTCGAGATTGCTTTGGGTTTCACGTGCGACAAAAAAAATGGCTGCGTAACCGTCAAGAACTATCTTGCGAAATTGGAGCAGTTCGAACACCTCAAGTTGATTCCACGCGGTATGCGATTACATCGTTTCCTAAGTAACTTAATACTACGGTGCGATAAAAACGCTTATGACTTTACGAGTTTGCGATAACAATTATCTTAATTCTCTCGGTACTATTGTTCTTTTTGTTTAGAAAATCCCTGGTTTTTTAAGCGGAGAAATCAACAATAGCAACTTTCGCTATCAATCGAAGCATCAGGACAATCGTCATCGAACGAATGCACGCGCACACACGGCCATAAGGAAGATAAGATCGCGGTTGACCCGATTCATCAAAGTCGGTCACACAATAGATCGTCAAAGCGTTCAATTCTCCAAAAATAAAACAAGCAAAACCCAACACTCGGGATACTTACGGACTGGTATCTTTTTCGGATCGACGGTGCTAAGTCGTTCCTCGACCTTGTCGATCTTGCGGCGTAGGTGTACGCTCCTCTCGGCGACGTGGGCCAGCTCGGCGGTGAGGCCCGCGAAGATGTCCTCGGCGGCGGTGAGGAGCGAGGCCAGTTGCTTGAGGGAGCTGGTTAACGCGCCGTTTGCCACCGCATCGAGTTCGGCGCCCACCGGCCAGCTCCGCTGCGAGCTCGACGGCACGTGGCCGCGGCACAGATGCCGCGGCTCCACCTTCCGCATCACGAACGGCATCGCGGCGACGATGCCGGCGGCTTGTTGCTGGGTAACGTGTTCCCGGCCGGCCGCACTCGCGCATAACAACACACTTCAACGTCGGTTCCCTCTCATCGCTGGAGCACCGCATCACCGCGCGCCGATCTCCGGAGCCGGCCGTGCGCCGTAGGAATCCTCGTGCGGTCGCCGACACGGCTCCATGCCGGTATAACCGCCGGTTTTCTTCCGTCACTTTTGAAACTCTCGAGTGTAACTCCTTTTTTTCTGTCGCGTCACACACCGCGCGCGAATCTCGTGTTTTTCGCTCTCTCTTTTTCTCTATCTCTCTCTCTCTCTCTCTTTCTTTTTGCTCTCTCTGAAAACACTTTCACTTCGCACTCTCGGTTCGGAGAACCGCGAGAGATCGATCTGATCGAGGCGCGATCGCGCGAGGACGCGCGCTTCACGAGCCGACGCTCGGATTCTGGCGATCGTACGCGTGTGGCATCGCGACGGATCTCTCCCGATAACGTCCGCCACGCGTGTACAATTTGTTTTTTTTTATTCGCACGGTTTCTGCGGAATTGGACTTGCGGAAAGGACCTCGGCGAGCAGAAGAACGCGCGAAAACGACGACAACAGGCGCCGGTGAAACGTACCGCGCGCCGCGACGTTGGTACGCCAAGTGTCCGCCAATCCGGCAACCAGTCGCCGACAAGCCGGCTGTTTCTCCCATTCAAGCGAGGGACGAAAACCGCCTTTACCAGGTGTCTGGTTGCCGAGCAAGTTGCTGGCGCCATCTGCCTGCCGGCCATGGTCTGACTATGTTACAATTATCTACTGCCGCTGTGTGTACTGTTTGAGTGTCAATATATATTGCTCACAAACAATAAATTAACTATATAAAATATTAATATTAATATTATACTGTATATTAATATATATTCATGATATCTTGTTGCAGATAAATATAAACTATAGAAGAAAACATTAATTGTGAAGCAGAGTAATGTTGCATTGTACAGCTCAACCAACGGTAAGTAATGTAAAAATCAAAACTAGTACAAAAGAAATTCAAAAGAGATCGACACGAACAAGTGTGTTATCTTCCGTAGTAAATATCGTCGATATGTTACACGCAAACCGTAATAGCGAAACAAAATTCGGTCAGTTTTTTTATTTTCATCTTCACAAACACGGATCTTTTCGCACGAGTTAGCTACTTTATATTTATATGTAATTTGTATGTACATGACACGCAACAACTGTATTTCTTGAACAAAGAAATGTTTAATGGAACACACATATTTTTTTTACGAGAAGAGGACTAGTTAAGTGCGCAAAATAAAATGAACGATACACGGACAAACAAAGGTACGTGTGTGTGTGCTTGTGTAAATTAAAAGAACAAAAATACACTCCATTGATAACATCGAAAATATACACTTATCCATTAATCTTTTCTGTTGTTTTCTATTGATATAAGATATTTTTGTATGTACGTGCGCATGACAATTGTTTTTTAGCACTTGCGCTGTCAAAAATCGACACGAGCAAATACGCGGGGTATTGACTCACAGCGGATGCTTTTTTACATGGCGCATATCAAAGAACAGTTTGACAGGAGTGTTTGACGTATAGATATTTTTTGTCAAACCGGAAAGTGATAATATAGAATCACACGACGACGATAACAAAAAAAAATTCAGATGAGTGACATTCTTACGGAAAGGACTACTGTTTTAGAACGAACCGGATATTTCCATCAATAACTCCTAATAACATGTGCGACACGATATACGCCTATACATCTCCCTCCACTTGGTGGATTGAAATGGTTGAAAAACGTCGAGTCTTCTTCGCGGTTTATTAATCGGTGAATAACGAATATATATATATACACACATACACACACATAGACAGAGAGGATCCAATTACGCGTCTGTCCTCATAGAAGTTTCATAGAGACGAGACTGCCGCGCTATCCGACCTAACTTAGATACGCGAGCGGCGGCATTGCATAGGCAAAGCCATATCGATCCGACGATAGCCGTTGCTGATCGAGTTAACGAACGTCGTAATTCGCGTTTATTTTCATAGCCGGCTAAACAAAAAGTTACAGCGGTAACGACTGGACGAATGCAACGCTCGTTAGCGTAACAAATTTAGCGGACAATACGACCGCCGGCCGGTCCCGACCGGATTTCGATTTGGTGTAAAGCAAGCTCCGGGAATTGGGCTGATGTAATTGATAGTCCGAACTTACTTAACTCCTTTGCGCATTCCTCTCCCCCATTCCTCTCGAGAGAGGATCTAATGGGTGCCGAGGGTTAGTCGGTGCGCGCGCTTTCTCTCTTTTATTCCTCACATTAATTTCCTCCGCATGTGCAATTTCACACGATAAAAGTCTCGCTCGCACCTAGCGTCTCGGGATGATACGCTCGGAAATCTATTTTTTTTTTTTTCGAGAGGAAAGCAATTGCTTCTTTCCGCATCGCTACTTTGCGGATGAACAAAATTTCTTCAAACTACATCACTGCGAAATAACAGATTAGAAATTTGGAAAACAAATGTAAGTTGCTTTCACCATTTCCGGGGAAAATTATTTGTTTTTTTCGCAAACACAATGGCCGCACTCATTTCTCTGTAGGTACATGACGCAAATGTAACCATCTTGTTGCAAATGTTATTTGCGTACTCGCACGTATTGCAGTTCACCCTTGATGCAAAGTAAGTACACAAATCAGATTTAAAAAAACGAGTAACGAGTTAAGAATAAGTTAAAAACAAAAGTATTAACTGATTTAAAACGCAAGGTGGTTTTATTTAAGCTCATCAGTGAAAGGAAGAGATTGGTGATAAAAGTTTACAAACTTCACGATCTTGAGGATTAACTTGACTATACCTTTGATGTTCATGTAATGAATCGACGAATTTAAATATCACGCAGCGATGCGCTTCTCAACTTCAAAAAAAAAAAAAAAATCGAAAAGTTGTGTGTTCTCACGAAGCAAACAACTTGGTTCTTACGTACCTTTTTTGGTCAAGGTTTATCAGAATCGTACTTGAGAATGATTAGACCACGGACTACTTAAGGATGCTAAAATCGTGTTTCTTCGTTCTTTATTATCCAGCGCGTATCTCAGTTCTTCACGAGGGAGATGCGTGCTTAAAAGATCAGCATGAATCGAACACGAGGGAAGTACAGTCGAAATAAAAATCTCGAAACAAACGCGCCGAGCTTGTAGATTTTATTTATACAACTTTTCGCCCATTTGCATAGAATTTGACTGATAACATTGTGATTACGTGAGCGTTTGCGATTGTTTTTCTCGAATTTGCAAACGACGATCGACGCGCGCTAACGTGTGTCGATCGTCGAGTTGTATTGTTTGTCGTTGTTAACGTTTTTCGTGTGTCTGTTTTTTTCCAAATTAGAAAGATTAATTTTTCTAACACGTAATGTCACATCGCGAGCAATCCAAATGATGGATGTTGTATGTACCGTCGTTCGCGAGATCCAAGATCTACCGCAAATATTCCAAATTGTTTGCACAATTGCTCGATCAGGTAGTTTCTTAAAGATCCATTCATCTTCTATTTTTAGCAGCAGCGTGTTCGTGCCATTGTACGCACGCGGATCGTGTGAGCTACGGCGCGCTGTTTTTAGCTCATGCGCAAACAACATTGAGCAATGGGCGACCCGCGATATCCGGCGGACAATCGAAGGCTCAGAGCGCATAATTACATCGGGTGACAGTACCCCTTAAGTTAGCCGGAATCGCTTCGCGACTGCCCACACAGGACGACATGAATACGTGGTGCGGCCGCGTGCACGGTTGTTTGGTCCACCACCGTCGTTTCTTGTTTCAACCGAGTTGCAATGACTGAGGGCAAAGGGAAGAGAAGGGGCTGGGTTCTTTCTGCCGCGAGAACTGCCGACTGTTCTTTATTTTTTCTTTTTTTAATGGATGGGGGATTCAGCGAACGGGGTTTCTGTCAACAGGCCTCGAACAATGGCCGAAGTGAAGGACAAGACTTTACGGTGGTGGAATTCGGGGGATATATTTCAACGTGTGGCAACACGTATTGACGAATAATTAAGAGCGCGCAAAAAAAAAAGACTGCAGGAATCTGTTGTGGCAAAGATTGCATTTAATGGAAAGTTTTTTTACGCAGCAGACAAACAACCCCTCTTTTGTGCGCTTTGCAGAATGATAAAAAAAAAAAAAAAGAAGCTACTTGAAATTCCATAATAGCTCTCCGTTCGATCTGTCTCTGACACGAGCTCTTCTCAAGGGAGGAGGGAAACAAATTGACTTAAAATTGTTAAGAAACATTTCTTAAAATTAAAACTATATTTCAAATTTTCTAAAGGGTTGATTAAAATTTAGATTTATTCAGATGAGAAAAACATTCTTCGCACACACACACACACATGCACAGAGTTATCACACGCAGAACAGAATAATATAGTCGGATAACAGATAGTACATTATCTTTTTGTAACTGAAAACAATGTGTGTGTGTAAATCTCTTATATCTTTGTATATGCGCATAATAATGTTGTTATATTGTTACATAACTACTTTCTCGCGTTTTTTTTCTTTTCAGTTGCGATCTTAAGCAGAAACATAAAATTGAAGTATCGAATTGATACATTTGATGCAGTTGTAAGCATAAAAAGAAAAAAAAAGCAAATAGGCATTCAATTATTTTGCCGAATATATTTTTGGGACAACGAAGAATCTGCAAGCGTCTCTCCGACTGCGCGCGATGCAACAATGTTCCCGAACGGATTCCGGAATGTTCCGCAGGATCACGGGTTTTCGGAGGACACTGTACCATCCGATATAGGCACGCAGACCGAAAACAACAGGCCGAGTTATTTCGATCGGCCGTTGGGAATCTTCGGATTCTACAAGTCAACGATACAGAAAAAGTACTTGGAAGGTTTGTCACAAAATCGAGTCGAGAGAACATATAGGACGGGCAACACAGTGGTGGAACACACAGGAGGAGGAGAAACGGAGATTGGGAAGGAGGTGAGCGAGTAGGATGAGAAGAGGGAAAAGGGGACGAAAAGAGAAGACATGCACACACCGCGTGCGAATTCCCTCCTCGCGGGTTATGCGCGCAGTGCGGTGCCTAACCCGTAGGGCACAGCGATGCATCCTTTTTTCCCCGCCCACCCGTTAGATACGGCCAGAGCACGCTGTACTCTTTCTGTCTCCCTCCTACCGTAGAGCATTTCCTCACTTCTCTCCCCAACCGATCGCTACGTCACGTTCCTTCTCGCCGATTCCCGCTCTGTCTCTTTTTCTTCCGCTCGTCTCCGGCTCTTCTCTTTCTCTTCCTCTTGTTGCAACAAAGTTGCAATTTATAGCTTCTCTCGCTCCCACGTTATTTCTTCTCTTCTTTCTCCCCACTATCGCGTCACGTTCCCCCTCCGGCTTTCCTACCTTCCCATCGCGCGTCACCGAGCCACCCACCAACTGCACCGCACTCGAGTATCCCTCCCGTGCATCTCCCTCCCGCGTTCTGAGAGTGCTTGCCGACCCTTTCCCTCTCGCTCGCTTCCTCTCCCTCTCTTTTGCGCTCACGTGCCATGCCGTCGGGTGATCGGCGCGCCGAGGCGTCGCAAATCGCAGCTTCGGCTTCGCTCGGTCGGTTCCGCACGTCAGCCGTAGGAATTCGCCAGTATACGCCGCGCTGCCTTGCCGGCAAGTTGTATGTAGCGAATAGATTTTCTTTCCCTCAATCGTACGCGGCCAAGTCGTCATTTGTGGCGTCACAAAACGAGGAGCGATTCCTGTGTGCACACGCAAAGTCGGCGAAGTTTCACTCTCGTCAAAAGAAACTGTAACCGAGAGCGTCGGAAAAAAAATCTCATTCGCGTGCGTACAAAATCGCAGAGCGCAGATTCGGAGCAGATTGCGAGAGGGAGCACACTCGGCTCGGAGCGACAGCTCTACGGCGACGAGAACTCCAAGGTATCGATGAGAGATACCAGAGGGGAACGGTCTGCCAAGGGCAACGAGGGCATCAAAGGTCACCGTCGTCTCGATCGCGCCGTCAGCGTCCGACTCGTCCGAAAATCACGCGTCACCGACGCATCACGGAGAAGAGTTGCCACGCAAATTCCGCTGCGACACCATCCCGACGAGCAGCCATCATCATCAGTGACGACATAGAGCGTAGCTTCATTTCGCTTGTGCAGCGGGCCAAGTTCCTATCAAAACATGGCCACGTGACCTCCGGACGGCACCGCTTGTAAACACAGAGTTTGACCACGTGGTCTGCTCCCTCTCCGCGCAGCGCGGTGCGCCTATCCTATTTCTCTCTCTCTTTCTCTCTCTCTCTCTCTCTTTTTCTCCTTTAGCTATCTATCTCTTCGTCTCCCTTGCGCTCTCCGCCGTCGCCGCTCCGCACACCACTTCTAACTCTCTCGCTCGCTCGCGCCGCGCTCTTTCGGCACGCAGATCGGCAGCCGGCGGAATCCTCAGTTGGTTCGCCGCCGTTGCCAGTTGCACGCGAGCGCGCGATTATAGCACGATCCGTTCGAAGCCGCGAACTCGTTTCGTCGCACGTCGCTCGTCCCGGAGCCTCGTGATCTCCGGAGCGTGATCGCCGATCCGATTCGCGCCTCGCATCGTAAACGAATCGTCGTGCGTAACTCTCTGCTCACGGTGTTTCCGATCGGTGGTGATGTGATTGAAGGAGACCGACAGTGCCATAGAACAAGAGAAGGATAACAGCTGGGTTTACTACTCCGCTTTTAAAACCGGCCACGAGCAAACGCTGCCGCTGAGGCTTTGCCCGATCTCGAGGACGTGCGAAGGCCGTACGCCATACACACACACACATACATACATACACACACACACACACTACTCACTCACACATACACACAAACACGTACACCAGTACATCAGTGATATAGTGCCATCTAAACGCAAACCTAAGTTGATTTGTTCTCGCGCGTGCGCGGATTTATTACTCGGTGCCGATCGTCGTGCCGGTCATCGATCTTTGGTGCGATTTACACACGTTTATCCTTGATTCAAACTTTGAGTTGTGCGCGAACAGAAAGAGATAGAGACCATGATGGCTTCCGTACCGGTCTCGGTATCGGGTTCGATGACGCCCTCTCAGCAGCAGCAGCAAGCGCAGAAAAAGGGAGTTTCCTTCGAGTTCTCGACCTCGCCGGACTTGGATACTGGCTTCGAGCCGCAGACCAGAGCACGATCCAACACATGGCCTCTACCACGACCGGAAGGATATGTCGAGGGCGGTACGCCGACCGCGAAGGAAGGTGCCGAGGGTGGCACGCCGCCCCATCAGACGCAGCTTAGCCAAGGTGGTCTGTTGCCAGTTAAAAAGAATTCGTCACGCAGAAACGCTTGGGGTAACCTAAGCTACGCCGACCTGATCACGCAGGCTATTACCAGCGCGCCCGATCAGCGGCTCACGCTCTCGCAGATCTACGAATGGATGGTGCAGAATGTGTCCTACTTCAAGGACAAGGGCGACAACAACAGCAGCGCCGGTTGGAAGGTAAGCACAAATTTTACGCGACACTCTTGAATAAAATGTGTTTTTCTTTTTCGGAGCGCGCGCGTGAAGCTTCGCGCGAAGAGACGCGAACTCTTTGCGGACAAATCTCAAAAATTAGACAGACAAATTGGGTCCGTGAGACCCATGCAACTTTAAACCCGAATAACTCTGTGACAAATCAATATTTTTTCAATTTTGTTTTTTTAAATCGAGAACATTTGAACAATTCTGCGTCGATAAGAAAACAAATTGAAAAAAATATCTAGTAATTTCAAAGTTATAAGCGTTAAACAAAATAATTTTTACTAGAAACGCCGATGCGCGATTTTTGAGTGGGTCTGGGAGACCTATGTCTGTCCGTAAAAGGTTAAGAATAATTTGAAATTATTTTATTTTGGAAAAATATTTTGGAACACTCCGAGGAGCATAAGTGATACTATATAATTTAGAATATTAGGTACAAATGAGTCGTTACACGCAATAATGATGTGTGAAATTGTCCTGATGTTAATTTTATTTTAATGACTTTTTTTTTATCTCGAAACTAAACGTGATTTTGTTACGGGTTTTACAAAATCACGCCGAGTATTCTCTCTTTTTCTCTTCTAGTCTATGATTTTCAAAATGTCGACAAAGATATGTCCGTGTAGCTCAAGAGTCAAAGGTTGCACTTGCTGCAACTTGTAAGTTCTATTACCGGATAAGATTCAGATAACCGAGATAAATGCATGACGTGAAGTCAAGTCGAATCGGAGTCACGTTTTATACGAAGCGTTACGAAGACTTCCGTTTGGTATGGAAACAATTGCGACATGCGACAATGTTGAAGGTTGGACACGGAAATTTATCAAGCGGGAATTCGCACGTAACGATATTTTTAATGATTCACGTCGCACGATTATGCATTACGAACCGACGTTCCCGTCAGAGACGCGCTCGGAAAGTTCTTCTGTCCCACATATATACATATATGTAATATACATATATGTAATAAAATTTAGTTATCATAATGTTTTTATATTGTGCCATAATCTTTTACAAGCTATAAGGACCTTTACTTGCAAACGAAAAAAAATGACGAAATAAGAAAAAACGTTAATTGATTGGCAAGCGCGGGCACGAGAAGCGGAGTATTGTTTTGTTTTATTTTTTTAATTGTAAACGGTATAGTTTTAACAAAATTATTAATTTTTAATTAATAATAAAGTAACTCACATATAAAACGACAGTTGATCTTTTAATGAAATTAAACAAATTACATTATGCAAATACACGAGTCGAACAAAACGTTAGAGATCTGTAAAGCGAGTATGTGCTGAACTATTTAGCGCGGCGCGCATAATTAAAACGTTAATAATGAATTGTAGTGTTTATAATTATAAAGCTCGAACTTTTGGCCCCCGCGCTTCGGCTTGACGTTACACGGCGTTGAATATGACCAGAGAGATATCTCGTTTTCGTATTTCGTTACAGCGCTCGCTAATTGGCCGTCAAATTTGAAGTAATTCGATCTAGGAATGTCATGTAACAATTTGCATAAACATTAATTTTCCCCTCTTAATAATTCTCTAAATTTACGCGCTAATGTTGATTCGCTGCAACGAACATTCCTTATGTTCGGGGAACGATTTGACGGGGAATTTTTTTAGACAAAGATTTGCGAGACACGCTCGCGACAACAACGTGCGGTCAATCTCAGACGAAAGTTATTGCATATTGGTTCCTATTGAAATGGCCAATTCTCCGTTAGTTGGATACTATGCAAGCTTATATTTGTCGAAAGCTATTGCAGTTCTAGCCTGAACAATATTCAGAAGTTGAGTTGTTTGTCATGGGTTTCGATCTTTTCTGTCAATGTTCAACGTTTAATGGCATCATGTCTACCGTACGGTTGGACATGTTTTTCTCGTATTTAAATAAAATATAAGAAATTGCCAATACGTGTGCCACCCATGCCACTCAATTATCGCGCGGCGAGCGTGCGGGCCGATTCGTCAAGAAACTCGCGGCAGGAATCCGCGCTAAAAATCCACCGAGGCAGCGACCGTCGTCGCTCGTCGCGCGCTGCAGCTGCGAAACTTGCGGATGCAAGTCGCGCACAAGCGGCGGCGACGACGTCGGTCACGTGGTGTGCCGAAGCTCGAGGAAGGGAGCGAGAGAGAGATATCTGTATCTTCTCTCGTATTTTCCGCGACGCGTACCGAGAATACATGCCGACGCAAAAGCGCAGTGGCGGCGAAGAGTTTTAAGGCCCGTTCTCATCGCGCGGCGCACAACTTTGTACCACACTGTTGTCGACGTCACGTCGCGCCGGGTCGAAGTACACGCATAAATCGATGCCGCTCCACGAACAATCGTCCCGTCCGCTCGTTTAGCTCTTCTGAACGACGAACGCCGCGTATTATTTATGTACGATTTGCGTGGCACGCAAAAGCGCCCGACGAAAGTTCAGGGATACGTTCTGAGAATTCAAGGATGGTAAAGAGATTCCTCGCGCATGGTGTTTTAACGGTTTCCCGTAATTCGACGCTCTCCTCGGAGAGAAGAAATCATTTACTCTCGATTTACTCGCAATCGTTATTTTAAAAAACAGGATAAGTAAAAAAATTAAAAAAAATAAAAATAATAATTGCGAGAAAATTCTTGATAGAAATTTAATATCGTAATGTTTTGAATATATCTTCAGATTCATTATAACGCGCGAAAGGAACTTTACTAATTGATGCCCGACGAGCGCGCGTAGAAACACAGCTCGTCTTCTCACTCTTACGTCGAGATTTTTTTCTACATATTGTATCAATTATCTTATATCTTGCTAGAAGATTTTTTACGCTTGCAATATTGTTACAATTCGAGTAACATTCACGTTGGGAGCGCAATAATTGCGGCTTCTTCTTCGCCGCACGATCATCGCGCTTCGTTCGTTGAGAAGTTTTTTATTAGGCTACTCACGCGATAACACAGACGAGAGAAGATGTGCGATTTACTGATGCATCTAGTTGGACGATGTAAATGATATTCCTTTACGTGTGAATTAGTCAGGCTCCATATATTATAGATGGAAAATGATTTGTTGCACGCGTCCGAGACATCCTTTATGTAACGAGAACGCATATCTCTCTTTCTTTCTCTCTCCCTCAGCATTAACAGTTTGTAATCTTATCGCGAGATTTTAGACACAATAACAGAACCGGATTTTATAGAGATTTACGATACGTCGAAACAACGTATCTCGCGTCGTGCCGGGAAGAAATTTCATTCCGCAATTTGCCACCTCGAAATGGCAGCTCGATATGTCGCGCAACTTCGCTCGGTGTAACAATCATTGCCTCTCTTGTGTAAAGTAAGAGAAAGAAAAGCGAGACATTTGCATTCCTTCTGTGAGATGTAGAAGAATCCCTTTTTAAAGTCTAAAGTCTATAGTCCGTGCGTGTAGATGAGGAATAGAGAACCTTCTCGCTTTGTAGGATAGAAGAGAACGGCGAAGGAAACGCGTTAGAGAGACGCGGAGAGGTGACAAGAGAAGCTGTATAACCGACCGAAAGGTCACTCATCTGTCTGGTTTTAAGCCGGCGCTCGACTGGCGCCCGTCATTACAAAGCTCTTCCTCTCTCTCTCTCTCGCTCGCTCGCCGATCTCTGCTCGGTATTCTAGCATGACGATTAGAGGTGACGCGTCGCGCTCTAACGACCGATAGAAAGAGAGAGAGAGAGAAAGAGAGAGAGAGAGAGGGAAGAGAGAGATGCGGAGAAGGACAAAACTCGACTAACTCTTCGGCTGCCTCTTTTCTCGCGGCATTTCAACGCTGTGTTACGGCGCGGTAAATACCAGAACACTACTACCGGTCAGTGAAATTGGAACGCTGCGAAGACTACTAGATCCTTCCGCGAGATCATTATCAGCCAAATTATATCCGCCTTCTCTCAGAGAAATTTAAGAAGAGTGGGATTTTTATTTCCTAACAAGGATTTTTCTAAAGTTATCACGAAGCTTTTAACGTGTGTTCTCGGTTTTTGTCAAGTAATTCGCTGTAATATAATTACTTTTTTTTAAACACGCACTTTATGTAAAACATTGCGCATGGGAAGAAGTAATACAAGACAGATGAAAAGTCTGATGAAACACGCGGTGTTTTCCGCACATTATTTTGTTTTAAATTTTTCTCTACGTTAGACGAGTTGTACGTGACATAATTCGATAAACTCTGGAAACGAGAAACTATTTAAATCTGTCGTTGCGATTTAATAATAAAGAAGCGTTACATCGTGAAAAAAATTGTACTATTCGAAACTGGGAAACCTAATTGCGTGGCAAGCATTAAGCCGAGAAAAATTCTAAACGCATCCGGATAGCTCTGCTTCATGGTGTTCTGATTTCTCTGAAGCGCGCTCGCGTGACACCATCTCACGTTAGAGTTACCTTGTAACTCTGACGTCGGTGTTTCGATTAGCGCGATAAGCATTGTCGACACGAAACACACAATGATATATTGCGCGACTATAAAATAGAGAGAGAGAGAGAGAGAGAGAGAAAGAGAGGCGATTGCGATCTTCAAATAAAGTAGGAATCTGATCTTGTCAGAGGAGGAAGAGGCGATAGAAATCTGCTCGTCGTTGAAGAGGGATTTTACGCCCGTTGTGTCACTTTGAAGTTGCAGAGAGAAGTGTCCAGGAACTTTTTTTTTGTTTTACATCTCCCTCCGCAGGTCCTCTTCTCCGAAAGCGTCTCTGATTCACAAAAACACATAAATCTACGCGTGTGTATATATCCACGATTGCCGTATCGGTGAAAATAAATCGGCGGCGGAATGATAGGCGCGAAGTCGGATACATCGATATTGCGTTATATCGAAGGTAATTAATTGTAAGCGATAATGGAACGAATCGCGAGCAATATTGGGCAACATAAAATAGATACGAGCGCGACGCTATAGTCTCCGCTCTCCGCTGTTCCGATTTGATATAGTTAGTCGACGATGATCGATACGGATTGAGTGTATT